GATAGTGAACAATAGCTTGGCTGGGTATAATAGTCAGGGCTTGCATCCATGGTCTTTTTGTTTCTGCATTACCTCTCTCCAAGACCTTCTGGTTTTCATGGTTTCCATAGAGAAGTCCAGTGTAAGTCTGATAGGTTTACCTTTATAAACTATTTCTCCTTTTTCCTTTGCAGCTCTTATTATTCTTTCTTTAATCTGAATGTTTTGTGTTTTGATTATTATATGGTGAGGGGATTTTTTTTGATCCAGTCTATTTGGTTTTCTGTATGCTTCTTGAACCTTCATAGGAATTTCGTTCTTTAGGTTGGGAAAGTTTTCTTCTATAATTTTGTTGAATATATTTTCTGGGCCTTTGATCTGCAATTCTTTTCCTTCTTGTAACCCTATTATTCTTAGGTTTGATCTTTTTATTATGTCCGAGATTTCTTGAATGTTTTTTTGATGAGAATTTGTTGGATTTGCTGTTTTCTTTGATCAGAGTGTTTAGTTTTTTCTGTGGTGTCTTCAGAATCTGAGATTCATTCTTCTATCTCTTGTATTCTGTTGGTTATGCTTGTTTCTATAGTCTCTGTTCGTTTACCTGGATTTTCCATATCCAGCCGGCCCTTGGTTTGTGTTTTCTTCATTGCCTCCATTTAAGTTTTCAATTCTTGAACTGTTTCCATTACCTGTTTGATTTGTTTTTCTTGGTTTCCCAGGGTATCATTTACAGATTTACTTATTTATTCAAACTTTTTGTTACACTTCTCCACCATTTTTTTAAGGGAGTTATTCATGTCCTGTTTAAGGGATCTATCACTTTCATAATGGCATTTTTTTCCACTTCTTCTGGATTAGGGTGTTCAAGTTCTTCTGTTGTACGATCGCTGGGATCTGGTGCTTTCATGTTGTTTTCAGATTGTTGGAGGATATCTTGCCTTGGTGCCTACCCATCTCTTCCTTCAAATGTTCTCCAATGGATCTTCTGGTACAGGGTCAGGTTCCCTTGTTGGCCAGGGACCTCGCCCTCTGATGGATCTTCTGCTACAGGATCAGTGCTCCCTTGCTGGCCAGGAATCTCGCTGACAAAAGGCCTACCTTGCTGCAGGCAGGCTATTGAAACACAGGAACTCCCTCCTGCCCGGTTGCACTCACCACTCTGTCCCAGCGCCCAAACAGGCTGAGCTGGGGAATTTTATGACCCCGAGGAAGGGAGGAAGAAGGGAAGGTGTTCCTGGGTGAAAGCTGGGATGGAATAGGAGAAGAGAGGGCGTAGTGGGATGGAGCAACCCTGCAGAATAACCAGGGAGTTAGGGGGGTCGGGTAATGTCTGTGCTCTGCTGTCGGCCTTCTGCCTCAGGTCAGGAGCATACTTACCTCTCTGATGGATCTTTTCTACAGGATTAGTGCCCTTAGATGGCCAGGAATATCGCTGACACAAGGCTTACCTTGCTGCAGGCAGGCTATTGAAACTCAGGAACTTCCTCCTGCTGGGTTGCACTTACCACCCTGTCCCAACACCCAAACAGGCTGAGCTGGGGGATTTTATGGCCCTGGGGAAGGGAAGAAGAAGGGAAAGGGTTCCTGGGTGAAAACTGGGTTGGAATAGTAGAAGAGAGGGCATAGCACGGTGGAGCAGCCCCTGCAGAGTGACCAGGGAGTTAGGGGGTTTGGGTAATGTTGTGTTCCATTGCCGGCCTTCTGCTGCATGTCAGGAGCACACTTACCCCTCTGATGGATCTTCTGCTACAGGATTAGTGCCCCCAGCAAAATTTTTCACAGATCTCGAAAGAAGGATACTCAACTTCATATGAAAAAGCAAAAAAATAGATAGATAGATAGATAGATAGATAGATAGATAGATAGATAGATATATAGATAGATAAAATAGGATAGACAAAACAATCCTGTACAATAAAAGAACTTCTGGATGCAACACAATCCATGACTTCAAATACTACTACACATCTACAATACTGAAAACAGCCTGGTATCGACATAAGAACAGACAGGAGAAACAATGGAACTGAATAGAAGACCCGAATATTAATCCACACACCTTCAAATACCTGATTTTTGAAAAAGAAGCAAAAGATATCAAGTGAAAAAAGAAAGAATATTTACCAAATGCTACTTACATAGCTGGATATCAACATGTAGAAGAATGAAAATAGACCCATATCTATCACCATGCACAAAACTCAAGTTCAAACGGATCACAGACCTCAACATAAAGCCAGCCACACTGAACCTTATAGAAGAGAAACTGGGAAATATACTTGAACTCATTGGCACAGGAAGCCACGTCCTAAACCTAATTCCAGTAGCACAGACACTGAGAAAAATAATAAATAAATGGGACCTCCTGAAACTGAAAAGCTTCTGTAAAGCAAAGGACACAGTCAACTAGACAAAACAACAGCCCACAGAATGGGAAAAGACTTTTACTATCCCCACATCAGACAGAGGTCTGACCTCCAAAATATATAAAGAACTCAAGAAATTGGTCATCAAAAGAAAAAATAATTCAATAATTCAATAATGGGGGGGTGGGAGGGTTGTTGGAAGGGGAGAGGGTTAAAGAGAAGGGAGTAGGGGAGGAATGGGGAAAGCTCGGTGGACTGGGATGGGGGAGGGAGGCAGGATGGATCAGGGAAGAATATATTTCAACTAAGGGAGTCATTTTAGGGTTTACAGGAGACTTGATTATAAATGGGATCCCAGGTCCAAGGAGAGATCCCCAGATTGTTCTCTGGACAGAGGAGAGGGTGCCTAAAACGGCCTTGGCCCATAACCATACTGATGAATATTTTGCTTATCACCATAGAACCTTCATCTGGCGATGGATGGAGATAGAGACAGAGACCCACATTGGAACACTAGACTTAACTCCCTAGGTCCAAACGAGAAGCAGAAGGAAAGAGAACGTGAGCAAAGAAGGCAAGACCAGAGGGAGCCTTCATCTGACGATGGATGGCGATACAGATGGAGACCCACATTGGAGCACCGGACTGAGCCCCCCAAGGTCCAAATGAGGAGCAGAAGGAGGAAGAAAATGAAAAAGGAAATAAGGACTGCGGGGGATGCGATCACCCACTGATACAAGGGGACGGATCTAATGAGAGTTTACCAAGGCCAGCTGGACTGGGACTGAACAAGGACGCGATCCAACCAGATTCTCTGAATGTGGCCGGATTCTCTGAATGTGGCTGGCCCAGAGTCTTTCTGAAAAGCCATTGACAATGACACTGGGACTTGTTTCCTCTGCATATACTGGATTTTGGGGATCCAGTCTGTCTGGACACTCACCTTCCTGGACCTGGAGGGAGAGGGTAGGAACTTGAACTTCCCACAGGGCAGGAAACCCGGACTGCTCTTAGGGATGGAGAGGGAGGAGGAGAGGGAGTGGGGGAAGTGGGAGGGTGTTGGGAGGAGGGGCGGAAATGGAAACTTTTATAATTTAATAAAATTACTTTCTCATCAAAAAAAAGAAAAAAAAAGAAAAAAGAAAAATGGAGTACAGACCTAAATAGAGAACTCTCAACAGAGAAATCTAAAACGGCTGAAAGACACTTAAGGAAATGTTTAACATCCTTAGTCATCAGAGAAATGCAAATCAAAACAACTCTGAGATTCCATCTTACACCTATAAGAATGGCCAAGATCAAAAACACTGATGACAACTTATGCTGGAGAGGTTGCAGGATTAAGGGAACACTTCTGCATTGCTGGTGGGAATGCAAGATGGTAGAGCCCCTTTGGATATTTGGTGATTTCTCAGAAAATCAGGAAGCAACCTTCTTCAAGACCCAGTAATACCACTTTTGGGTATGTATCCAAAGGATGCTCAATCATGCCACAAGGATATGTGCTCAACTATGCTCATAGGAGCATTGTTTGTCATAGTCAGAAGGTGGAAACTACCTAAATGCTTCTCAACTGAAGAATGGATAAGGAAAATGTGGTATATTTACACAATGGAGTACTATACAGCAGAAAAAATAATGACATCTTGAATTTTGCAGGAAAATGGATGGAGCTAGAAAACCTTATGTTGAGTAAAGTAACCCAGACACAGAAAGACACTTACCACATGTACTCACTCATAAGTGGTTTTTAAACATAAAGGAAAGAAAACCAGCCTACAAATCACAACCCCAAAGAACTTAGTCAACAATGAGTACCCTAAGAAAGACTTACATAGATCTAATATACATGGGAAGTAGAAAAAGACAAGATCTTCTGAGTAAATTGGGACCATGGGAACCTTGGAGGAGGATTGAAGGAGGAAGAGAAGAGGCAGGGAGGGGAGTAGAAAAAAAGTAGAGCTTAGTAAAAATCAATTAAAAAAGAAGAAAAAGAAAAAAGGGGTATCATGTTAGGAGGGCTGCTGATAGGGGGTTCTGGGAGGAGTTTGGAAGTGTGGGTCATAGACAGATGTAACCAAGACACTTTGTATACATGTATGAAATTTTCAAATAAAAAATACTGTTCCACCTGGGAGGTAGATGTGCAGGCCAATAATCCTAGCACTTGGGAGGCAGAGGCAGGTGGAAATCTGTGAGTTCAATGCAAGCCTTGTAAGAAGATGCTCAGCTTGATCATCCCAGCGGCCCAGCTAGCATAGCCCTGAAATAACCACACAAAAATTGTATTCATTATGCACTGCTTGGTTCATTAGCTCTAACTTCTTATTAGCTAACTCTTATACTAATTTAGTCCATTTCTATTAATTTGTGTATTGCCACATGGCAATGGCTTACTGGGTAAAATTCCCAGTGTCTGTCTCCTTCTGCTCCATGACTTCTTCTGACTCCACTTTCCTTCTCCCAGCATTCAGTTCCTTGTTTTCCACCTACATAAGTTCTGCCCTATCAGGCCAAGGGAGTTTCTTTATTCATTAACCAATACAAGCAACACATAGAAAGAAGGACCTGCTACACCAAAGCCTGGTCTACAAAAGCTAGTTTCAGGACAAGCTCAAAATTCTGCATCCTTTTTCTGGTGTTTCCCTGCCACAGGTTAGACATGTGTGCACTCACCACTGCCTGCTGTGTAGACCTCGCCTTGGCTCTCAGCACATGCAGAACACTGACCAGGCTGAGCCTCGACTGGGTCACCTTGGCCCATCATGGGATGGAGCTGCTGTGTGAGGCTTTGACTTGCAGAGGCTGCACTGTGAAGGTGCTGGGGTGAGTGCTCACTGTGTCTGGGGTCGGGAGTGACTTTGGAGCAGCTCTTCTGTAGCAACTGGTTCAAGCTCAGCCCTGTTGACACAGGGCTGGGGAACTAAGTGGTTCAGGACGAGCTTTATCCTCTAGGACACTGAGGGCCATCCCTGATCTCTAGCCATTCACAGATACCACCCTCTGGTGGCGATTATTTCCAAATAACATCAAACATCATCTTTTAAAAACCAAACATTTGGAATATTTCATTTGGCTTATTCTTTTTCAATTTTTAAAAATTTTTATTATTATTTTATAATTTATTTTATTTTATTAAAAGAAGACAATCTTTTTTCATTTTACATACCAATTCCAGTATCAGTTCCCTCCCCTCCTTCCATACCCTCCACCAACCTCCTCACCCCATGCCCCATCCACTCCTCAGAGAGGGTAAGGCACATGGCTTTGGGGAAGGACCAAGGTCCTCCCTACCATATCTAGGTTGAGCAAGGTATCCATCCAAAGAGAATAGGTTTTTTTTAAAAAGACACTACAAGCAATAGGGAAAAATCTTGGTGCCACTGCCAGTTCCCCACAGTCTGCTCCAGGCATATGACTGTCATCCACATTCAGAGTGACTAGTTTGAACCTACACTGGTTCCTTCCCAATATGGCTGGAGTTGGTGAGCTCCTATTAGCTCAGGTAAACTGCTTCAGTCGGTGTCCCCATCATAGTCTTGACTTCTTTGTTCATATTCTCACTCCTCCCACTCTTCTGCTGGACTCTGGGAGCTCAGCCCAGTGCTCTGCTATGGGTCTCTGTCTCTGCTTCCATCAGTTGCTGAAAGAAGGTTCTATGGTGATATTTAAGATATTCATTAATCGGACTATAGGGCAAGGTCAGTTCGAACACCTTCTCCTCTATTACCTAGGATCTTAGCTGGGGTTATCCTTGTGGATGCCTGGAAATTTCTATAGATCCAGGTTTCTTGCTAGCACCATAATGGCTCCCTCAATCAAAATATCTCTTTGCTTTCTCTGTCTCTGTCCTTCCTCCATCTTGACTATCTCATTCCCTCATGTTCTTCTTCCAGCTCCTCTTCTCCCCCTTCTTCCCCTTCCACCCTCCCTTTTCCCCACCCCCATGCTCCCAATTTTGTCAGACAGTCTTGTCGATTTCCTCTTTCCAGGTGGACCTATGTATGTTTTTCTTAGGGTTCACCTTGTTACTTAGCTTCTCTAGGATCATGAAGAATAGGTTCAATATCCTTTGCTTTACAACTAATATCCACTTATGAGTGAGTACACACCATGTTCGTCTTTCTGAGTATAGGTTGCCTCACTCAGGATAGTTTTTTCTAGTTCCATCCATTTGCTTTCAAATTTCAACATATCATTGTTTTACTCTACTAAGTAGTACTCCAATGTGTAAATGTGCCACATTTTCTTTATCCATTCTTCAGTAGAGGGGCATCTAGGTTGCTTCCTGGTTCTGTATATTCCAAATAATGCTGCTATGAACATAGTTGTACAAAGTTCCTTGTAGTGTGATTGAGCATCCTTTGGGTATATGCCTGACAGTGCTATGACATGCACTTTCTGAGGAGTCACAGAAGCTACGGCAAGATGTGGAAAAGAAAAATAATGTGAATATTTTTGCAGTATCCATGGATCAAAGAGGATAACAAGAAGAGGGGTGTTCATCTGGTCTGGAACATCCTGCCCCAAGATGCACACCTGGTCCTGGAAGCTAGTTCCAGGATTATTTCACAGTGCCCTGCCCCCATCTGCCTTTATATATACTTCCCCTCACCACTTTACAATCTTTAGATGACAAACACATTAATAAACTCTCAACATGTTTGAAAATGAATGATTACTTAATGACTGTCTTAGAGTGTTGGGGTTGGAAACTGAGGAGACCCTGATTCTCTTACAGTTCTGGTTGGGAGTGATGTTTGTGACATGTTAGACTTGGCGTCATTCTCAGTGCAGCTAACATCACCTGAACTGTAGTTCATGCCACGATCCTAAGAGACACAAGCATCACCAGGCAGAAGGTGGGACGTAAGAAGATGATGCCTAGAATCCCCAAAGTTAAAATCAAGAATTATACTTTTTGGAAAAGTGATCTGAAAAATTCTTTTTCTAAGTCCCAGGAATCAGAGCTAAGGTTTGCCCTCTATTCCTTCAAAGAGGGGCTGGAAAGATAAGTCAGGGGTTAAAAGTGCTCCCCACTCTTCAGAGGCCAGAGTTCAAACCCCAACACCTACATTGTGTGGCTCAAAACTGCCTGCAACTCCAGCTTTATGGTATCTGATGTGCTTTCCAGGCATCCGCAGGCACCTCTTGCAAGCACACACAGATCCACATATATACAAACATGTATACAAACATATATACAAACACATGCATACACATACATACACATATGCATATAAACATATATACACACATATACGCATACACACATATATATACACACATATACATACACATATATACAAACAAATAACAAACTCTGAAACCTAAGATTTTGCATGTTGTTGTTTTTCACTGTTACATTTGCTGTGAATTACAATAAAGAAGTCAGTCCTATTAAATGATATTTCAATTTTAATAATCTTAATCAGTAGCTCTCAACATGTAGATCACAACTCCAAAACAGATTTTATACTATATATCCTGCTTATCACGAGCTGTATTAAAGACTTGCAGCACGGGGAAAGTTGAGAACCACTGAATAATTACACTATTTTTTCCTTTTAAGAAAATATTTATTTTACAGATATACATGTACCAGGTGTGTGTACATGTACCATGTGTGTATGGAAGCCCCCGAAGGTCCATGCAGCATCAGATCCCCTGGAACTATAGTTACATGAAATTATGAACTACCACGTGGGTCCAAGGAATTGGACACAGGTCCTCTGAAAGAGCAGAGAGTACTCTTAATCTCTGTGCTATCTCTCCAGTCCTTATTTTTTTTCAAAAACTAGAAAAAAAATCTTACTAAGTAAGTTGAGGTTTTCTAATAGAAATAACTGACTTTTCCCATCCTAATAATTCATCTTCAATTTGACTCTGCTACATTTAATGCGGTGTAGACTTTTCCCTTAACCTAGTGGAATCCCTACTCTTCATTTTCCTCCTACTCTCTCTCTCTGCATTTGTTTGGATTTTCCCGCCTTGCTGTGTTCTGCCCTTCTGGTTAGCCAAAGCAGCTGTGTTCATTAAGCAGTGGTTCACAGCATACAGAGGGATCCCACAACAGTTGACACTGTGTGTTCCTTAGGACTGGAGACATAAAGCTCAAGCCAGCACACACTTCTCTGTGCAGACCCCTGCAACACCCACAGAGCCACCGGGCAGCTGGCTAACAGTGACGATCCATTGCTGTTGTATTATGAATGCCTTCCTGCAATTCAGTTCTGGAAACTAGGGACAGGAATGTGTGCTATAGAGTCCATCATGTTTTCAAAAACTTATTTTGCTCAGAGTTGTGTGATGTGAGTCAGTAGGCAAGAAAAAAGAACAGAATTCTAATCTTAGTTTCATTGCTGCGATAAAACACGAACCAAAAACAATATAGGGACAGGCAGGTTTATTTGGCTTACAGCTCCATCATCTTGAGAAACTGAGGCAGGAACTGATGTAGAGACCATGGAGGAATGATGCTTCTGGACTTGCTCCCTGTCACTTGCTCAGACCGATTTTTATTTCATACAGCCAGGAGTCACTTCCCCAAGGACGGCACCACCTAGAGTGGGCTGGGAGCTCCTACAGGACAGTCTGATGGAGATGTTTTCTCAGTTGAGATTTCCTGATCCCAGATGACTAACTTGTATCCAGATGACAAAAAAAAGAAGCAAAAAAACAAAAACAAGCACAGATTTTTTTTAAGTATGAGTAACTAACACTCAGAGTCCTTGGAAAGCTTATTTACAGTCTTCCAACCAGACAGCCAGGCCGTGGAGATGCAGTCCTTTAATCCCAGAGCATAGGAAGCAAAGACAGGGAGATCTTTGAGTTCAAGGCCAGCCTGTCTACAGAGCTAGTTCCAGCACAGCCAGTACTGCACTGATAGCCCCTTCTGGGAGAGGGCGGGGAATCAGTCAGCAGTATTCCGACCAGGAGAAGAGACCAGGATCGAGCCTCGACATCTTCTCCTGATAGACGGTGTCAAAGGCTTCACTCTGGGCCACAGTGAAGACATTCTTCCAGTTGCCACAAGTGCCTGTCAAACCCAGAAGGGAAAGCAGCAGGGAAATGAGTGAGCACTGCATGTGAACAGCCAAGCCTGTCTCCCCCTGACCTCATCGATCTAGTTGGTGTCTCTCTCAAGACCAAAAGGAGTCATCCTACAACTTCCTGCTCTGTACCTGCTGTCAAAACCACGTGAGCATGAAAGGGATTTGAGGTCAGTGGCTGTGAGCACTTGAAATGTCACGTGGAAAATCCCAGTCTTGAAATTGTGAAGGGAAAACTGAGGAAGTTCTCACAACTGAACTTCAGTTCACCCCTCCATGTGGAAAACTGTCAACCATGTGATAGAGTAGCAGGCTACAAAATTGGCACGAAAAGAGTGTGTCCTTCAACTATTTTTCCAACCAAGGTTGTATTCTAGTAAAGGGAATGTTCACACAGCGCTATGATCAGAAAGATCTCCTCTAGGAAAGTGGTGTGCTCTACATCACTTTTTTCCACGTGGGATTTTTTGAAATCCACTTCCACTGAAATGCATAGATAGTCCACTGCCACAAACATATGATTAAGTCCCAGCACCCTGGGTCCCTGAACACCAACAACATATTCTCTGCCTCTCCAATTGTCTTCTATTTTATGAATGTTACATAGATATATCATGTGCGCGGGTTTATGTTGTTGACTTTTGTTGCTCAGCATAAAGCCCCTGGAATCCATCCAAGTTGCTGCATGTGTGAGCAGATTCTATTACTGATGAATGAACATTCTGTCTTATAGACACACGGATGTCTGCAGGGGTTGTCTGTTGTAATCATAGCACCCTCTGAACTGGACAGTCTTGTTACTGCGACTCTATTTCTGGTTTCTTACAGACTTGGACAATGTCACTGTGACTGAGTGGTCTAACTGTATAGACTTATCCACTGCACAGCAGCAGGACACAGGCATCTCTCATTCCTCGGGTGAACTCTCAGTAATGGAACTGTGGCCAGCGACTGTTCTCAGAGAATATGATGGGATATACTAACTTCCAAGCACATCTGTTTCCATGTCTCACACTTTAGCAAGGGTTGGAAACCTACCCATTTCTACAGTACAACTGTGACCCGCTATCCTGTCTCACCCTTTCTCAGCAATGGTATATTGTGGACCGTGTTATCTTCCGGATTTCTTAGCATTATACTGTTGGACATCGCGTTCTCTTTCACGGCTGAGAAGGACAAGTTTTGGACAGCAGAATCGAGTTGCTCTGGACTCAGAGCTTTGCCCAGAAATTGACACACTTTTTGAAAGTTGCCTCTCAGGTCCTGTGAGCGGAAAAGGAGTGATCAGAAGAGAGTGAGTGGATACCAGGACTGATGAAGACAGAGTGTTCAGGAGAGAGTGGGTACCAGCAGTGACGGAGATGGAGTAATCAGGAGAGGGTGGATACCAGAACTGAGGGAGACAGAGCCCTTGAGTGCTCATCAAGGTGAACACTTCCTTAGTGTGTGACCTGCTAGTTTCTTTCCAACATCCTACATCATAAGTATATTTTTATATAATATATACTAATATGCATAAATACATATTTATAAATTTATAGTATATGTTTGTATTTTGTTTTTAAGTTATATATTATGTGTATACTGCATAATAATATATACTACACTATGAAATTTTAAGTTTATAATAATTATATGTATAAACTTATAGTATATTATGATATATATATAAAGCATGTACAGACAGTGCCTACGGAGGACAGATAATGATGGTCGATCCCTTTGAGTTGGCGCTGAAGGTGACTGGGAGCCATCATGTGGAAATTTTTAATAAATAAAAAAATCAGCATATACTCTTAAACACTGAGCCAATGCTCCAGCCCCACCAATATTCATAACCTGTCTTACATTGTGAAGGGATGAAGGAGTCATGAAAAGAAAACCCATTCCTTTGTCAAGTCTACCTGCCAGTCATGAACTCGGGAAATATGGTGTGTGTGTGTGTGTGTGTGTGTGTGTGTGTGTGTGTGTAGGTGTTGATGGAGGCCAGAAGAGGGTATCAGATTCCCCTGAAGCTATTGTTAGAAGCAGTTGTGAGCTAACTGCTATGGGTTTGGGAGTCAAACTCAGACCTCTGGAAGAGCAGCAAATTCTCTGTACTGCTGAGCCAACCTCAAGCCCCTAGCTTTTCCTTTTCAAAACAGAAATCAGTTCTAAGTATATAAAATGTAGAATTTCAAGATGCCACTTTTATACATGTGTACCATTGTAGTGAACTCATATTCACTTCATCACCCATCATGCTTTGCTCTCCATCTCACCCCTCCTCCTCCTCCTCCCCTGCACCTGTGTGCCCCACACACAGCTCATCTAGATTTCATAGAAACATACAAGTCATTTTTTTCTGCTCCCCCCATTACGCTCATCATTACTCCAGGCTACCAGCTTTCCACTGGCAAATTCTAATGGAAAAAACAAGGCTCATTAATTCAATTGGACCTAAATTTCGTTGAAAACTGGAGGTGGTAAATGAACAGGCACTTGCTAAAAACACTGAATACCACAGAAAGAAATCGAAATTTCAACGGTCACCTAGATTAAATCAGCCAATACAAGTGCATTTGAAAAAGAGATAGTTATATGAAAAATCACTACTTTTTGGAGAATTGAAATTGCTGCATATAATATAAAGTTTGCAATGATGAGATTCCTGTTCGCCAGTCCTTAGTTCTGATGTAGAACTCGAGCCTAGAACATTCTCTGAAAGTCTATATGGAAGGTTCTGGCCCTAAGTTTTACGTTCAATAGCCTCTTTGGTTGTCCCTGGACTCCAGTGTGAAGTTGTCGAAGTGCCTACATCAAATGTGTTGATGTGGTCAGGTTACCAGTGTGGGATTCACTGTGACAACTTCCGTGTGCTAAGGATGCTGAGCTTGAACTCAGAACATGTGCCAGACTGGTATTCTCAACAAAAGCCATCTGTGTCTTACCTTAGAACTTAAGGAATGTTTCAACAAGGCACATGTCTTTAATAAGACATGGCTAACTCTTACCAACCACACATAGCATGACCTTCCCTACTCCAGATATTTGTCATTTTCTGTGTTAGCTGAGTACTGCTGCTTATGCAGTTTCAGGAGGACAATGAGTCTCGGGGTGGGTTAAAACTTTCTGAGGTTATGTAGGCAATGAAAGGCTGGTTTTTACACACCTTCCCTGAGTTAGTTTGATTCTCTGTTGCTGTGATAAAATACTGACCAATAACAATCTGGGGTTTTTATTCAACTGACAGGTTTTGAGCATCACTGAGGGAAGCCAGGGCAGGAGCTAGAGGCAGGAACTGAAGCAGAGACCACAGAGGAGCGCTGCTCACTGACTTCTCCCTAAGGCCACTCATCTGTCTTTCTTAGACATCTCAAGCCCACCCGCCCATGGACATCATCCCCAGAGTGAGTAGGCGCCCTACATTAACCATTAACCGAGAAAATTCTCCCACAGACATCCATTAGAGGCAGTGTCTTCATTGATCGTCCCTCACCCAGCTGTGTCAAGTTGACAGCAGATGCTGACTGTGATGGTCACCCACTCACTTACCTGATTGGTTACCCCTCAGAAAAGAGAGAAAAGGAAGAAAGGCAGAAATGGGAATGTGGGAGAACAGTGTAAGAGAATTATCCTCTGTAGCTCCTCATAGGATATGAGGAGGAAGTTCGCTGTATCTCACCTTGTTAGCCATCCAATGGTGTGATCAAACCAGGATCCGAAAGCCACTACAGAGAGGGGGAAGAAAAGGAAACAACAACTGAAATTTTATACCTCATGGATATCGATGCTTGTCCCTGAATGGTAGATGGTGTTTACTTTGAGCAATGTAAGGGACGTCAAATTTCTACCTGCAGAGGTCTATAATACAATTATGACATTGGCGAAGACATGTGTTTCTTAGAGGGAAAGAACTATGCATGCTTGCTATCTACATTTTTTAAAAAAAGAATTTTTTAAACCTGATTTCATGTGTATGAGTGTTTGGTGGTATGAATGTATGTGTGTGCACTACATGGTGCAGTGTTCTCAAAGACAAGAAGAGGGCATAGGATCTCTTGAAAGTAGAATTGCAAGTGGTTGTAAACCATCACATGGGTGCTGGGAACTGAACCTGGGTCCTCTGAAAAAGCTGAAAGAAGACTAAACCACTTAACCACTTCTCCAGCCCTGCTTCTTTGAACTTTGTCTAGAAAAGTGTTTAAAACAGCAGGATAAAATACAAATTCCTGTAAGAGCTTTATGAAGTAATCATATGTTTATTAAATAATACTTCATAAATAAAACAGCAAGAACTGATGAAATGGCTCAGTGGGTACAAGCATTTGACCTCAAACCTGATGATGTGATTTTGATCCCTGAAATCCACATGGTTGAAGGAGACAACTTACTTCCACATATTCTTTCAGACATCAACACATGTACTATGTCATGTGTGTGTAACCCCATATGCATACACATCAGATGAATGAATATAATTTCTGAAAACCATAAATTGAAAAATATAAAAATAAAAGATAGATGATCATTCATGCCTACATGTTATATCATACAAGAATCGATTTTCTAAGTTAAAAGTGTATTAAATGAAAATCAGATTATAGATGGCTGTCTATAGAACTTTTGACATTATAAAGTGTAAAATTTTGAAGCATTTATTTTGTTGTTTTAAATTTATATGTATATCTGTGTGTGGTTATGTGCATACATGAGTGCAGTTCTGGGGGATGCCAGAAGAGGGCGCTAGACCCCTGGAACTGGAGTTACAAGCAGTTGAGAGCAATCTGATATGGATACTGGTACCCAAATTTGGACATCTACAGAAGCAACACACATTCTTGACAGCTAAACCATCTTTCTAGTCCCACACTGAATAGATTTTATTATTTTTTGTTTTTAACGTCTTTTTTATTACTTTAAAAATACCAATCCAAATTCACACTTCCTCCCCTCCTCCCCATCCCTCTCACTCCCTCCACACACCTGATCTCCCCACACTTCAATCATAAGAAAGAGCAAGGCACCCTGGCTTGTGGGAAGTCCAAGGCCCTCCCCAATACATCTAGGTTGAACAAGGTATACATCAAAAAGAATAGGATCCCAAAAAGCCAGTAAGTGCAATTAGAGACAAATACCAGTGCCATTGTCATTGGCCACACAGTCTCACAGTATGCCCCAACTGTCAACCACATTCAGAGGAAATAATTTGATCCCATAATTGATCATTCTCAGTCCAGTTGGAGTTGGTGAGCTCCCATTAGCTCAGGCACATTGTCTCAGTGGGTGAACCGTCTTGGTCTTCACCTCCTTGTTCATAATATCACTCCTTCCACACTAAGTAAATTTTAAACAAATGTGATCCACAGATTTAGTTTTTAAACATGCAACACAAATCTCCAATCTTGGCTTGATTTCAAAATATAAAATTGAAGGTCCTGGTTCCACTCACCATCACCTTGGATAAATGCATGAAGATGTTCTTCAAAAGTCTATTGATTATTCAAAGGGGGCAAATGTTTTCCTATATAATAACCAGATGTAATAACATCTTTTGGATTCCTGATGACATAAATAATCTAAAATAGAGAGAGAAAGTTTATTAGAAATGTCTGTCTTCATTTCATCAATTCATATTTCCACACATCCTAAATCAAACATCTTAAGTCTTTAAACAGAGCCACAGCACACATGTGGAGGACTGAGGATGACCTGCATCCTTTCCCTACATCCATAATTCTCTCAATGTTATGTTTCCTTCTCTTCCACCATTTCCTTAACTCAGAGATAAAGGATGCTAAGTTGTTCTTTCATCTGGGGAATTTAATTAGCTGCCACAGGCATGCATGGTTCACTGCTGCAAGAAAAGTTGAGGGGCTGCAGAAATGGCTATGCAGTGGTTCTCAACCTCAGGTGCCCTAAGACCATCAGAGAACACACACAAGCAAATACATGTATACATATATGTATATGTATATATTATTCATAACAGTAGCAAAATTGCAGAAATGAAGTATCAATGAAAATATTCTCATGACTGGGGGTCACCACAACATGAGGAACTGTATTAAAGGATCCCAGCATTAGGAAGGTTGAGAACTACTGCCTAAAAATGTTTGCTGCAAAAAAAAAAATGAAGATTGAGTTTGAATCATCAGAAACCCACATGTAACGGCTATTCAAGCTTGTCAGCTTGGTTATATCTGGAATGAATTACAATCCATAAATGGAGGGCACATCTATGATCTGGATCTTGAGGCAGAAGAAACACACTGCTACCATGAGGGCCAATCTTACTGTGCAGAACTCGAAGGGTCTTACTGTGACCTTTTATCTGAGGGGGGAGGAGAAAAGATACACACATACTCTTGATGGTCTCCTTCTGACGTCTTCCTTACTCTTGTGTATTCTTCCTGTACCGCTTTCCTGGTGTTTTTCTTCTCTCATTCTTGATGTTTTCCTTTTATGTCTCTGTGGTGTTTTCCTTCTAACTCACTCATTCTTGATGTTTGTCTACTAACTTACTTTACATTTCACCTTACAGGTTATATACCTCAACCAAAATCTTTCCAGCAATATAAAAATTTACAATGTGGTTACATTCCATTTTTCAAGTGAATGATTACAGTTAATACAGGTAAAAAAACATATTTTGACATCCCTTCCATAATTAAACATTTTACATATTGCAGGTGAGAAACAAGAACCCACATGAATTCATATCCAAGCAACTTGTTAAAGATTAACTGAGTGTAAGCAAGGTTTATTTCTCAGCCAGTTCTTCTACTGGCAGGCTACATATTGTGGTTACAAAGAAGGACCAAATATTTTATTGTTTCTGTCAAACAGTAATCTGATAAGAAATCTTAGAAAAATCACAAATCTAAACTTTTATATATGAAAAGGAATCAGTCGGCTCTATTTTAAAATCTCAGGGTGCATACCTGTGCATCAACAGGGCAGAAATAGGCACAAGGTATTAATCATCATCTTTGATCACCAACCAATCATTGTAAGGAAGGTACCTCAGCTAATATAATTGGGCTGCTTTGTTTTGGTTCCCTGAGCTTAATGAGTTCCTCACTCACCTATGTACCTTCCTAAAACTTCAGATTATCTTCTTGGGTTTTTCACCTGAGAACTATTTAAGAAAAACATCATAGTCTAACATTAAGCTGTTTTCAAAGCTTTGTTTCATCTATAATGAACTCTGAACCCTGTGCACACAATTCCCACCATTAAGATTAAAGGAATTTAGGGAGGTAATGGTGGCACACACCTTTAATTCCTTCCCAGCACTCCAGGAAGCAGAGGCAGGTGGAACTCTGTGAGATCAAGGTCAGCCTGGTCTACAAGAGCTAGTTCCAAGACAGACACCAAGGCTAAGGAATGTAAGCTAGCTAGGCTACTGGGACTCAGTTGTTTTTCTCCTTCATTAACCTAAGCCACAGACTATAAGGCTCCTCAGTAGAGACTCGTGTGTTCTAGCCGTGTGACTCTTCCTTGCTTTATTATTTGTCCTCTGCACCTTTGGCTTTATCACAGGCAGGGCAACATTTTATCCTACCTTCACCTATGTTAGTTTTCTCTCTAAAGTAACCTCTATCATAATGTACTGCTTTACTTTTCAAAAATCTTCAGAATCAAAATCCTATTGAAACTAACATTGTTATTGTATAAAATCATTGCTTCCATTAAACAGTACAGCAGTGTGGTCTCCCCATGGCCATTCACACTGTGACAAATACCAGAGAAAGATGGTAGTGACTAGCAAGCTACACAGAAGTAGGAAGAGTATTCCGGAGCCAAGGATCTATCAAGATGCATCCATCAGGGTTATGTGTCTGGGTGGAAATTGCTCTCTGAAGTCAATTGCTCTCTACTGGTCCTCTGACATGGCCACCGGCAGACAGGCCTTTAATCTAGGCCACACCTTCTGCCGGAAGCCTATGTAAGGACAGTGGAAGAAGGAAAGCTTGCTTCTTCTTTGCCTGCTTACCCTCTCTTTGCCAGCTCATGCATTTCTTCATTGTCATTGGAGCCTGCTTCTTCAGGATCCCAGCATATACAGAAGACCAGCTGAGACACCCAGCCTCGAGGGACTCTAGATTCTTGGACTTTCCATTCATAACTAGACATTGTTGTGTTAGTTTGACTGCAGCATAAAAATAGCTCCAATAAATTCCCTTAATATATATGGAGAGAGTCATTTCATAAGTTCTGTGACTCTAGAGAATCCTGACTAATATATTCAGGTAGGTGAAAAACTTTCCTGTATTCTAACCTCAGAAGGTGAGGACAGGTGCTCTCTAGAGAATTCTGGTTACCAAGACTGGTTGTGCCAGTGAA